ATGAAGGGATAGCATGATTCGTTCGTCGTCTTCGAGGCTTTCCTGGAGTCTCGTCGCGGCAGATCTCGCCATGGCATGGCGCAGGTCCGCTGAGGGTCGACCTCACGAAGCTGATCCTCCTCCTCCTCAGGGACATCGAGAGCGGATCGCAAGGGTCCTGCGGAAAGCCTGTGGAGCAGGTATGAGGGAGTGCCCAGCAGCGATCCAGCTGATCCCCCGCCTTCCCCTCAGGTCGTCAAACGAAGAGATCCGTCGGAGCAACCCAAGGACTCGAACGTGAAGCAAGAGCTGTGAGCTCTTTACATACAATACAAGACCTCATTACCTAAAGCTGTTTACATACAATACAAGACCTTATTAACTTAGCTGTTTACATGCGATACAAGACCTTATTGCCGTAGCTGTTTACAGACAATACAAGGCCTTATTGCCGTAGCTCTTTACATACAATACAAGACCTCATACAATACAAGACCTTCTTGCCATAGCTGTTTACATACAACACAAGACCTTATTGTAGTAGGATTACACTATCGTACACGCGTGACAGACGTCTTGCCCGCCTCATCTCCCCCGGGCGATCGCTCTCCTGTCGATGCCGTTGACCCCGTGGGCATGGCGTGCCTTGACCCAGGCGAAGCAGCCGCCTGCTGAGCTGATGCTGTCGGCGATCTCCACTTCTTCGGGAGAGAAGCCGGAGACTCTGAGCTTATGGCGCTTTCCGAGCTCTCTCCAAGCCTGGTTCTGGGAGAGAGTCTGACGGGTAGGGTGTGGGGAGGAGGGCTTTCTGAAGAAGAGCCAGAATGTGAAGGATGACGAGGATGACGAGGAGGAGGATGAGGAGGAGGATGAGGAGGAGGAGGAGGAGGAGGAGGAGGAGGAGGAGGAGGAGGAGGGGGAGGGGGAGGGGGGGGAGGTTGTCTTGCTTGTGGAGACGGACGAGGTCTCTCTGGAGATCATGGCAGGCAGCCACAAGTCCAAGAGGCTTGAGGGGGATCGGGAGAGGAGGAGGGAGCGACGGGAGCAATGGGAGACACTTCCCAGTCATTGGTACATTTTTGATGAGTTGTGGCGGTGCAGCGGTACTTTTACCCGGGAAATGGGGGGAGAGACAAGGGTGGGGTGGTTAAATATGTGCATACACCGTCGAACTTCGGAACTGAAAATGATCTGAGAGTTCTTTCTTTTACTTATAATTATTTTCTTTTACTTGTAATTATAAATAAATGTCATATCTACAGAGAGAATCAAACGGATTCTATATATGGAGCTCTTTCTTTGACTTATAATTATTTTAAAATACATCATTTGTATTGATCTGTTTTACTTAAACATCCCATCTCAAATCCAGCCTCTACACCGATTCATGACCGGTATTCGATTAAATTCGCTGATTCAATCGATTCAACTCTTGTGCATCGCCGGGCTCCCGGCCGCACTAGTAGCGGCGGCGTTTTCAGTATAGCGGCGGGGCAGCATCGAGGGCCTGAGGGCCCCCGGTGGCAGACTGCCCGGCAGTGTCCGGTTGTTACAACTGGACACTCTGCCACCGATCAGTGCTACTTGTCTTAGTAGACCGTCCATGAAGCTCCGAGGCTTCAGACCGATGGCGGCGGGAGTACTAGTGCGATGTTGGACGATCGGAGGCGTTACCTTCGTCTCGGTTTCACAGAACTTGCGTCGCAGGCTCCTAGGCGTTTCATTCAAGTCCCCCACACCCCAGTATCCCCCCCCCTCCCCCCCCCCGCCGCGCCCCGGCCCGGCCGCCCCAAGTCCCGGTACAATGCTCTCAGCTGCGACGAGAGTCTTCACGGTAGCCGCCTTGGGTGTGAAGGTCGGTCGTGGACTGCGATCGGATCCTCCCATCTGAGTTGGGGCTGTATAACAGCGGGACTCCGGGATGGAGGAAGGCGCTGCTGCGGGGGCAGCATCGAGGAGGGGGTGGCAGACTGCCCGGCAGTGTCCAGTTGTATGAACCAACGACGCATGGTCGAGTCGGCGACCATTGGGCAGCCATGGAAGGCCTGCCAAGCTGACTCGCCTGCAGGTCAGCGGCAGCAGCTCAGACAGTGGCAACAAGACGAACCCCAGCCTTCGGAGGTACCGAGCTACTACCAAGCCGCCATTGTCCTCACAGAAAACAAGCAAGAGCTGTGAGCTCTTTACATACAATACAAGACCTTATTGCCGTAGCTCTTTACATACAATACAAGACCTCATACAATACAAGACCTTTATTGCTGTAGCTTTACATGCCTTACAAGACCTTATCGTAGTAGGATTACACTATCGTACACGCGTGACAGACGTCTTGCCCGCCTCATCTCCCCCGGGCGATCGCTCTCCTGTCGATGCCGTTGACCCCGTGGGCATGGCGTGCCTTGACCCAGGCGAAGCAGCCGCCTGCTGAGCTGATGCTGTCGGCGATCTCCACTTCTTCGGGAGAGAAGCCGGAGACTCTGAGCTTATGGCGCTTTCCGAGCTCTCTCCAAGCCTGGTTCTGGGAGAGAGTCTGACGGGTAGGCTCCTCTAGGGAGGCAGCAGACTTTGATGATGATGAAGAGTTTGGGGACACCATCTTGAGCGTCAAGGAGTTTCAGGAGACGGGCTTTTGTAGGAGCGAGGTGGCTGTGCTAGAAGGGCGGGGAGAGTGTGTTAAGGAGGCAAGACGTGTTCGCTCGTGCAAGGGAAGAAGGCACCGCAAGGTTGTCCTGGAGGGATGCAGCAACTGACGGAGGAGCGGAAGGAAGACGGCGAAGAGGGAAGGATGTTCGAGGTGTGTAGAGGAGAAAAGCGCAGGACCCGTCTGTTGCACTGCATATGGACCGGTCATTTGTGTATATATCATCAAATAGTAAAGCGAGAAAACTTTCGACCTCCATTTGAGTGATAAGGAGTGATTTCGATTCTCAATCCGACCATGGATGGGATTGAACATGAAAAATAATCTTTTCGTTGTATTGATGACACAAAATTTGGTGAGATGACTCACGATGGCTATGACAGTAGCAGGGGTACTATTCCCCAGATTGACTAAGGTCTCTACTTACCCTCGTAATACTATTGATCCATTTAAACTTTATTCGTCCCCTAGGTTCAGTGTTCTGTTCTCTTCGTCCGTTTACACACCTACCCCGGCAATGATTTGCCCCTATCAAATTGTCTGTCAGCAGCGTGTCTTTTCATCTGAACCTGTCGTAAAGTTATTTGAAAGTCAAGCGAGCTGGTGGGTCATCGATTGAAAATGTGGGGATAAATTTCGAAATACATCGAAATATTTGTGGGTTCGTTGCCAATGCTGGGTTTCAACTTGTGCTATAGGGGTAAACCGGGGGACAGGGGTTATATGCCAGGAGTAAACTGAAAGACGAAATCTTTCCTTCTGTTTGTGAAAATTTAGAGGAAAAATTGTAATCCAAGCCAAATTATGCAGATTCTTGCCCAGTTGCCTCTTAATGATACTTCTGGCAGCAACTTCAGTTGCGCCCGCCCGGGGCCCGGGGCCCGGGAGTCCATTAATTCACTTCGGAACATAACTTCTTTACTCAAAGTTAAGTTAAAGATCAGTACTGCAGCTGGACGTAGGGTCATCCTCTTCCTCATGCCTTTTCCTCCAGTCATTATTTGTGACAAGCAGCAGCGGCGGCGCGGCTGAGTGAACGTCTACATCCATCTTTCCACAAGTGAGGATGGGATTGGACCAGCCTAGTGTGTTGCTCAGTGCCATCATGATTCATATGGCGATGATGGGTAGCAGCTTACCTACGGTGCGCGGTTCGAGCAATGTGGCCTGTGGGGGGTGTACTTTCTATATCTCGGATGCTGGGGTGCTGACGAGAGGGGGCAGCTGCAAGAGCGATTGTATATTTCTGCAATTGGAATCTATGGGTATCACAAACTTGACGGAGGGGGTGTTCTCCGGACTGTCGGGGCTGAGAGATCTACGTCTGGGCAACAACCAGCTGACAAGCATTCCCGTCGGTGTTTTCTCCGACCTGTCGGCGTTGACTCTTCTATCTGTTGCCGACAACCAGCTGACAAATCTTGCTTCGGGAGTGTTCTCCGGGCTGAGGGGGCTGCAGTCGCTGTACATTGATAGAAATCAGCCGCTGACGAGCATTGCTGCGGGAGTGTTCTTCGGGCTGTCGAAGCTGCAGGAGCTAGGTCTTACATACACACAGCTGACGAGTCTTCCGGAGGGGATCTTCTCCGAGCTCTCGGGGCTGGTGTATCTATGGATTGCCTACAACCAGCTGACGAGCCTCCCGGCGGGGATCTTGACAGGGCTCTCGAGTCTACAGGAATTACATCTTGAATCCAACCGCCTTACATGCATCTCTTCAAAGGCCTTTATTGGCTTGTCTGCTCTCAGAAATCTTGAAATAACTAACAACGATTTGCGTTGCTACCATGAATCATGGCCATCGTTTGCATTGCTCGATGCGGGGCTCGAGCCTTGCCAGAACGAGACCAGTTGCCTCGAACCGAGATTGAATGTCAGCATGTCATCTAGCAACCCAGAGACGACACCTGTCAGTGTTTCTTCTTGGAATGGCACGCTAGCAGTCGCATGCACCTTGAACGCAACCTGGGAGCACATCATCGAGCATGAGACGGAGCCGTCACAACCGACGCCGCGCTACTTCATCACAGGTCGTGTTCTGCAAGTCTGAGGCAGCTGAGGAGCGGTGAAGGGTTGGCGCAGGCGGGCTCGGCAGGCTGGGAAAGGATGAAGTGGAAGAGGTTTGGGTGTGCCAGTACGGCCATCCATGCTGCGGCGCAGGGGGAGGGGACGAGGCCTTTTGTTTCATCTACGACGAGATCAAGTCTCCGAGGGTTGATGAGTATGATTTTCTACTTACATCTGCTTCCAGGGAGACTTTCAAGCCCTGGGGGCTCCTGTCAGAGCTCGAGTTATCCTCGCTGCGCAACTAACTCAGTGAATCTCTCTCTTTGAGCCGGCGCCGCCGTCGAGGGTCACCCGGTCAAATATCAAACATGACGGCGGACACTGTGAATACATGCAATTTTGTAGTTTTTTGAGTATACCGTCTAACGAGGTTTCACAAGATTTACCAAAGCAACTTGTGTTTATTACAACTTAGGGTATCGTTCACTGTCACATGACAAAGAATTATTTGTTTTGCAAATCTTGTTTAAACCATCGAACTAAGCCGTCGGTTTCGTCATCATTCGCATTTCGAACGACCATCTGATGTCATCGAGTCGCGTTGCTTCTTTCTTTCGCACGTTCTCGACATACATCGTCTATGCAAACTGCCCACTTCTATCACTTGAGCTCTCTGCCCCTTCTCCCTGATTGAGCAATGAGATGAATCCTTTTAGATAAATCTTGAATATTTCATTTCGGCCTTGAATCATGTCCATTGCACTTCTCCGGATGAATTGGTCAAAGCACTTCATGAGATAAGCTATGTCTGCAAGCCGTTTGTTCATGCTCTCTTAAAATTTACTCCTTGCAATTTCTCTGAAGGAGGTATCCCTTTGGCATGTTTGCCAGTGTGATACAGATTCCATGCACTTTTGAAACATTTCGCTTCACCAGAAATTCGAATCGTTTTCAGATCAGCTTGATCAGTCCGAGTCACAGTGTGACGCACCCCAGCTCGATCGCCATTGACGCACTGCACAGTGCTCCGACTCAGTGCACCAGCGTTTACGTCTCCGAGGTTAGGATCCTGTTCCTCTTCCTGGTGTTCTATCGCATGTTGCCCTGTCTCCGGAATCTTCTTGAGCATGCCCTGACTGTATCGTGGTTTTCTGCAGCCTTGCGTTTCAAATCCTCCAGGGAACACCAACCCACATCTGATCATCATCTCGCTGAAGCTAGAAGATTCTTGCCTTCACACTCCACAGATCAAGTTGAATTAACTCGGGATCGCAAGAACACCAACAGCTTGAAAACCTTGATCTCATACCTCATTTCGAGTGCAAGATCCGCTGTAAACCTTTGTTGATCTCTTGATTTTTGAACCTGTGAACACTCGTGGTGCACGAAGGCACATCTTGGCACTTTCGAAAGCTGCTCGTCCTTCCTTGTCTGTAGCATGATTGGCAAGTTCCTGGTGACGCCCTGCCATGCCATGCAGCACTCCCTAAAACCCCTCCCATTTGAAAACACAGCATGGACGCGCGATCGGGGGGAGGGGGTATTTAACTAAATGTTTGTACCAACACTGAGGGTTGGCCCGTCCATCAAATCGAACGTAGTAGTGGTTGAGGTGCATTTTTTTGATGCAGACGGGAAGAAGTTGGGAGGAGGAGGAGGCGCGGAGGGAGGGATAGAGGATGAGGAGGAGAGGACAGATCGCTAGGACGTGCAGCTAAGTCATCAGCAGCCAAGGACCAGGGCTCTGAACGCTCGGAGGTTCAAGATGCAGGACGAGGACGACTGGGATGCAAGGCCAGTGCCTTTCATAGTGATGAAGGGGAACGAAGTGAGCGCCTCAAAGATAGAGTTCGAGGTGACCGACGAGGCTCGAGATGTCCTGTCTCGGATCGACAGCCCGATCAGCGTCCTCAGTGTCGTCGGAATGTACAGGACGGGGAAGAGCTTCCTTCTGAACAGGATCCTGTTGGACAGGAAGGATGGGTTTCCTGTTGGGTCCACGGTGAACGCGTGCACGAAGGGGTTGTGGATCTGGAGCAAACCCTTGCGGGGCAAGACCGCAGATGGCAGCGATGTGAATGTGATCCTGATCGACACAGAAGGGCTGGGATCACTGAACGCCAACACCCAGCATGACTGTTACATCTTCGCGCTCGCCCTGTTGACGAGCTCCTTCTTCCTCTACAACAGTGTTGGGACCATCAACGAGAGCGCTCTCGAGAACCTCTCCCTTGTTGTCAACCTTACCAAGTTCATCCGGGTGGGCAGCAGCGTGAATGGGAAGGAGGAGGACGGGATGGAGTTTGCCAGCTACTTCCCGAAGCTCCTGTGGGTGGTGAGAGATTTCACGTTGCAGCTGGTGGATCAGAACGGGCGGCCGATCACGTCGAAGCAGTACCTGGAGAATGCGCTCAAGGAGGTGAAAGGCTTCAGTGACAAGGTGGTGGAGAAGAACAGGATCCGGAATATGATAAAGGCGTTCTTCCCGGACAGGGACTGCTACCCGATAGTAAGACCGGTAGAGGACGAGCGCTTGCTGCAGAGCCTGAGTAATCAAGGAGAAGAGGTGTTGAGAGAAAACTTCGTGAAGCAGATGAAGGTCCTGAGGGAACGGGTGTTCAACAACTCAGAGCCGAAGACCGTTCAAGGTGGTCAGGTTTCGGGACGGATGCTGATCCTGTTGTCGGAGAGTTACGTGAAGGCCGTGAACGATGGGAATGTGCCCTCGATCACAGACTCATGGTCCATGGTATGCGACTCGGAGTGCAAGAAGATCTTGAAGGAGTGTGTGGACACGTTTGACCAGGTCACCTCGTCGTTGATTGAGAAGGGGGATATCCCGATGGACGAGGAGAGGTTGAAGGAATGGCACTCCATGCAGAAGAATCAGCTCTCCGACTTGCTGCTAGCCAGGACAGGATCGTTCAAAGGAGAATTTCAAGATCGATACCTGCATGCTCTTGACGATTCGCTGTCGGACAAGCTCAAAGAATTGTTGAAAAAGAATGCTGAGCTCGGTCAGGCAGCCATACACACCATGATTGAAACTATCTTCTCAGACGTTGAGAGCTCTCTCAATGGTGGAAAGTACAAGAGCTGGAAAGCGTTCGAGAAAGATCGCAGCGAAGCGAAAGAGAAGTTCCTCAGGGAAGCTCCTGCCATTGGCAAGCGCGACGAAATCTTGCTGCAGCACCTGGAGCGACTGTTCTGCAAGGCTGGAAGTTTGATTTTTGAGCAGATGGTGGCGGAGAGGGAGATGATGGAACGAGAGTGCAAGCGAGAGTGTTCTGAGGTGAAACACAAGGCGAAGGAGGAAGTGATGGTCCTTCAGCAGGAGATGGAGGAGGCGAAGTTGAGGTTGATGCATGAGAGTCGGAGATGGGAGGATGGGCGAGAGGAGGCGAGCAGGCTGAAGGAACTCCTGGAAGCCGAAGAGCAGAAGTCTAGGATGAGCGAGGAGAGGAGGGAGGAGAGCGAGACGAGGATGAAAGCAGCGATGCGAGACCTCGAAGCCGCCGAGGAAAAGTTCGAGCAGGAGAGAGTGAAGCTGCAGGAGCAGCTCGAGAAGAAAGACATGGAGATGAAGAGATTGATCGCCATGCTGGAAGACTCTCAGTCGCACCATGGTGACACAACCGCAGCTGCCCAGCAGAAAATCCGCGATCTGACCAAGGAACGGGAAGACATGATGGTTCAGTTGAACGAGCTGACCAAGGAACGGGAAGACATGATGGTTCAGTTGAACGAGCTGACCAAGGAACGGGAAGACATGATGGTTCAGTTGAACGAGCTGGAGTCGGGAAGGGCAGCCCTTGCTCCTGCTCTAGCGACTCTCTGCCAGGAGCTCGTGGGCGTGCTTAGCGAGCTGTCGGAAGCTCAGCAGCAAGTGGTTGAGCTCGAGGCTGAGCACAAGGATCGTCTCCTGCTCCTTGACTCAAAGATGAACGCCAGAGACCTCAGTAAGATCGACGAGTTTGAGGAGGAGCAGGTGAAAGGTGGGAAAGAGGAGGAGGAGGAGGAGAAGGAGAGAGAGGAGAGCTGTTCATCCTCGTACATCGCAAACATCTCCGACTCCTCTGCCCGAGCTGTCCTCCAAGGGATCAACGTGTTCATCCAGGAGGACCAAGAAGCCCTCGACGCCGCAAGGAAGGAGGAGGCGACGCCGATAGCGGCTGAGACCAGCAGCATACGAGCTGTCTCGCCGTCTCCCTCCCTCCTGGAGCACATGTTCCATGACAACATGCTCGGGGGGGCAGAGCAGAGGCTGCCGGAGGAGTGGATCACGGTGATCTCCCGATCTCAGGGCCGCCCCTACTACTTCAACAAGAGGACGAGGCAGAGCACTTGGACGCTGCCGGGCTCGGAGAAGGAGTTTGGTTTTCACAGCGCAGGCAACAGTGCCACGTCATCTCCTACCTCCTCTCCCCGTCGAGGTTCTGCAGCCTGCAGGCTCGGGTTCGCCAACGGCCTGCACCCTCCTCCTCTCTCCCAGAAGCTCCACTCCGACTACCCAACTCCTCCTCCTCCTCGCCCCCTCCTTCCTCCCGTTGGCGGCCTGAGCACCCTGGAGACGAGGCTGCACGCGCTGGAGGAGTCAGTGAATCGCGTGCTGGAAGTGCCGCAGGAGGAGAGGAGCTCTTGCGGCCTGATACCACGTGACGCCTCCTCGTTTGAGACCCCCCGCATGGTCAAGGCCTGCCGTGTTCCTTCCAGTCGTTGCACCGTGGGAGCAGGAAACAAGAATTTCACGATGTGAGACTGCAGGAGGAGGGAGGGAGAGATTGGGGGAGGTCAAAGACGGGGAGGGAGGGAGGAAGAAGTGGGAGGGAGGGAGAGGAGAAGAGGGAGGGAGAGGAGAGGAGGGAGAGGAGAGGAGAGGAGGGAGAGGAGAGGAGAGGAGAGGAGAAGAGGGATGGAGGCAGGGAGGCAGGGAGAGGGGAGGAGGGAGGTAAGAAGAATAAAGAGGGTGAGAAAAAGGAGTGGAGAGTGGAGAGGAGGGGACAGGACGAGGTACCTACTGACTGTGTGTTCAGGTACGAGATTATCGTCTTACTCTCGCATGGAGGAACCATACCAGTCAACCATCGCTTCTCTGACTTCGTTCAGCTCCATCGCAGGCTCATCAAACTGTTTCCGCATGTTTCTCTCCCCAAGGTCGCAGCGATCTCAATTCATCCTCTTAACCTCCTTCCCTCCCTGTCTCCACCTTCCTCCATTCCCTCCCTCCGCATTCCTCCTCTCTTCTTCTTTCCCTGTCCTTCTGCCAGCTTCTTCTTCTTCCTTCCACCTCTTCTTCTCTTCTCACTCTTCTCCTCCCGCCTTCCCTTCGCTACTTCAGGTCTCTGTCGAGTTGTTCTCCTCTCAAGCATCGCGCTGGTTCAATCGCTTCGACCCCGACCTCATAGAATGTCGCCGGGTACCCTCCTCCTCCTCCTCCTCCTCCTCCTGCTTCTCCTCCTCCTCCTCCTCCTCCTCCTCCTCCTCCTCCTCCTGCTCCTCCTCCTGCTCCTCCTCCTGCTCCTCCTCCTCCTGCTCCTCCTCCTGTATTGCACTTTCTACTGCTGCTCCTCTCTTCGTCTTGCACTTTCTACTGCTGCTCCTCTCTTCGTCTTCCCCTCCTATTGACTTATCTCTCCGTCAGGTCTGGCTCGAGCAGTACATCAACGAGCTCATCGAGAGTCCCCAGCTGGAGACCAGCCAACCGTGTGACGAGCCCACAAGGCCGCCAGCTACTAACTCCCTCGCAGGTTCCGAAGCTTCCTTTTCGAGCCCAGCAGCAGCGCCAGCAGGGCAGGAGAGGTACGGACATGCAATGGAAGCAAGGAGAAGGAAGGGAAGAGGAAAAGAGTGAAAGTTGAGGAGAAAGCAAGGAGGAGGAGGAGGAGGAGGAGGAGGAGGAGGAGGAGGAGGAGGAGGAGAAGGAGGAGGAGGAGGAGGAGGCGGGGGAAAGGGGTGGAAGGTGGAGGTGCTGTTACTGCTGATGGTGTTTGGAATTTAAATTTTTGACAGGAAGCAACTTCGATCGCGGGGAGTCAAACGACCATGTTGAGCAACTTCACATCCGCCTCGAGCCGACCAGCTGGGTGACAGCTGGGGTTTTCTGTCAATCTAATGAAAGTATCATGTCCGTTGAGCGACTACTGCTGAGGAGGAGGAAGGGAAAAGAGAGGGGGGGGGGGGGGGGGAAGAGAGGACGAGGTAGTAGAACGGAGACAGAGCTTAGAAGATGGGATTCGACAGTTTGTGTGGGGCGAGGGGAGAGGATAAGGAGGGAGAGAGAGCGGGAGGGAGGGGAGGGGAGGGGGAAAGAGTGTATCTTGGTCCTTCAAGTCCTTCGACTGAGTTTCCATGCCACCCACGAGACGGCGAGGAGGAGGGAGACGATGCCAGCGGTACCGACGGGCGGGAGGAGCCGAACGGTTTCAGTCTCATCCTGCGGGAGGTCAGGGGCAGAGATCGGCCCCGTCTCCTTCTCCGTCTCCTGCTCCTGCTCCTGCTCCTGCTCCTGCTCCTGCTCCTTGGCTGCAACTTTGAGTTTCTCCGCGTCCTCCTTCGCCCGCCTCTCCTTCTCCTTCATTCTTGCCTCTTCATCCCGCTGAGTCTTCAGTATTGCTCGGGTCTCTTCGTCCAGAGGATGCGCAACTATCTGCAGAACCTTCAGCCTCCTCAAGGCTTTCGGGCTGCTATCGTACAAACCCGCCACTCCCCTCCCTTCTTCTCCCTCCTCCTCTTCCTCCTCCTCCTCCTGCCTCTTCCTCCCTCCCCCTCACATTCCATTTTCTTCCTGCGCCTCCCAACCTCTCCAACTCTCTTGTTCTTGTTCTCCTCCTCCCCATACCCCTTCCTAGCACTACTCCTCTTCCTCCATCTCGCTTCCTCCCGCATCTCCTCTTCGTCAACCCAACGCTCTCTTCTCCTGTTCTCATCCTCATCGTCCTCCATCCTCCCTTCCCTCCCTCCCTCCCTTCTCTCTACCTGCTGCTGACTCTGCTGGAACTTCTCGCCGCCTTGCAGCTGCATGCCGTGAGCCCCCGTCGTCTGGGGGAGGGTTAGGCAAACAAGGACGAGGAGAGGAGGAGGAGGAGGAGGAGGAGGAGGAGGAGGAGGAGGAGGTGGTGGTGGTGGTGGAGAGCGTTAGCGTAAAGAGGATCGAAACAAGCCACAGGAAGAAAGCGGGAGACGAGCATGAAGCGAGCACGGGAATGAGAGGAAGAGGAAGGGGAGGGAAAGGAAAACGAGGAATGAGTGCGAGAGGGAGGAGAGGGAGGGGAGGGAAGAGAAGAGAAGGCGAGCTGTCATGTTGAGCAACCGGCTCGTGCACTTTACCTTGATCCACTTCAAACTCTCGAGCAGGGAGGAAGCGTTCACTTTGTGCACTCCTCGTGACCTGCTATCCGCACGCGAAAGATTCTCTCCCTGCCTCAAAGGTTAGTTTCTCCTCTCCCCCATCTCGTCCTCCTCCTCCTCCTCCCCTCCCCATCTCCTCCTCCTCCTCCCCTCCCTTCCTCTCGCACGCCCCTGCCCTTCCGCGGCTTCACCTCCACAGAGTAGAAGATAACGATGACCCAGCGCATGCCCGAGGTGATAGGGTTCCCTTGGTGCCTCTCCACAATGTTAGAGCGGGAAGGGGCAGCAGCGACTTCAGTCACCAGACGCAGCGGTCGAGGAAGCAGATGTCTCCGGGGTTGATGGGGTAGTTGAAGACATCTTGAGGGGTACAGTCCCACACCTGCTGCCAAGGTCACCGTCCTCCTCCTCCTCCTCTTCCCTCGTTTCCTCCTCACCACTCCTCTCCCTCCTCCCCGTTCCTCCCTCCCCTCCTCATCTTCCTCTCTCCGGACTGCCTGAATCTCCCCTTTCTTTCCTTGCATACTCTGTCTTCCCTCCTCCTGCTCCTCACCGTCACGCCTCCTCCTGTGAACTCTTCGTCGGTGTGGAGGCCGAGGATGACGGACCCGTGCACGTTCCTCCCGTCCACATGCCGCGCCAGCTGGTTCTCACCTGGGAGAGGTCTGTACCTCGTCACCTGGCGGTGCGTAGATCAGAACACTGACTGGAAGAAGGTGGGTGGGAGAGAGGAGGGGAGGGGTGGTGGTCGTAGCAGGAGGACGAAGATAAGGTAAGGAGGAGGAGAATGAAAAGAAGAGGAGAACAGGAGGAGAACAAGGAGATCAGGAGAAGGAGTAGAGGGGAATGGTAATGATCGGGACGAGGACGAGGACGAGGACGAGGAGCGAAAGGAGGAGAGGAAAAATCAGGGCAGGAAGCGACGACTGAGGAGTAGACGACAGGGAGGATACGAGAAAGGAGGAATAAAAAGTTCTTCACTTACAAACGACTGCAGCCGGGTCAGTTTTTGGACGCTCCCGCTCCCATGCTGCAACGTGTACCACTCCGTGAAGAGCCGGTCGCATTCCAGCAGGATCTGAGAACGAACTCAGTCATCGACGACGACAACGGCGACGGCGACGACGATGACGAGGAGGAGGAGGAGGAGGAGGAGGAGGAGGAGGGGTGGGGGGGGAGGAGGAGGATGAGGAGGAGAAGGAGGAGGACGAAGATGGAGGAGGCAAGAGAT